AAAAAAAAAAAAAAAAACAAAACGAGTCTTGACATTCTGTTCTTCCCGGTGCCTAATTTCTTGAAGGATCCTCCTGCTGCCTTCAGGTCTTTAAAAAAAATTTGTATCGCTAGTTATTTGCAGGAGGGTCAGGTCTGGTAGAAGTGTGCTTGGCTGTACTAAAGAGCGCCGTATGTCACCTTTTTTAATGGTTCCTTCAGATTGCCTGTCACTTAGTAAAAGCTGGTCATTTTCCTGGTTTACCAGTTTCCGCGCCCCGCCCCCCCCCACCATGTGTTATATCTCCACCAGAGGGCAGGAGTGGCAAAGGTGGAGGGGCTGGACTATAGAAAACAGCTGTGCTGGAGTTGGGAAATTCTCATGTTCTTGCTCTTTGGGTTGGTCTTGGCCTTAGTTTCTATTGATGGTGGTGTTTTTATGTGTTCCACACACATTTAATGTGCACCTACTACAGGCCAGGCACCTTCAAGCTAAGCACCAATGGAGGACATCAAGCATAGATTAGTAATTTCAATGAAAATTGCAGAAGGGCAATATTATTGCATGTTTTTTGGTGACAAATTCTTAATGAGAGTACCAAGCCACATGTCACAACAGAGAAAGCACTTGGATCCACCTGGGAGCATCAGGGAAAGCAGCATGGGGACCCTGAGCCATGAAGCATGAACAGCTATCTGTGTGTGTAGAGAGGGGAGGACAGAGTGGAATGACAGGGGTACAGAATGATACAAATGTGTCTGGGTAGCAGTGGCCCTGGGATTGAGAGAGGTGTGTAGAAGGATGTGGTAGGACCTACAGGGACAGATAGGCTGGAGTGGAATCTCGGGGGGTTGGGGGGTGCAGAACAAGCGACACACTGTTGGGCACGCTCCTTGGTGGTAATGTGAAGAGGCTGGAACCTGGTGGGAGCGAGGCCAATTAAGAAATGACTGTGGCAGGTAGCAGAGGACAGCACCCCCAGGGGCTTTAGTAGTGTGGGGGCAGAAAGGATGGAGTGATTGGAGGCGTAACAATTGGGAGAGCTGAGAGCAAAGAGGCAGTCAGAGTGCACTGTCCTTGGTGACCAGGTAAGGCTGGGGGAGAAAAAAGCACAGTATTGGGGGGCAGGACTAGAGAATCACTTTTTGAACTTGAGTTTATTAAAGCCAGTGTCCAGCAGATTGGTGAGAACTCACTGCCTGAGCAGTCATTTGAAGATCTCAGAGCCTCAGGGGTGGAGGCTGTGACAGGTCTGTGCCCACACCTCTGTACCTCTGCTTGGATCCCCTCCCCAGCCCGTGCTGGGGTCACACCTGGTAGGAGTAGGCGCCCAGGCAAGCACGGCACGCCGTCCTTCACTGGACATTTGTTAGGGGGCTTTCTCTGTGCCGCTCTGAGGTCTCAGAGACCCTCACCACCAGTCTCTGGCATCCTCTTGTCTGAGAAGACAGACACTGGTGTCAAGAGTCTCCCTTCTTTGTTATCAGCCACTGTCACATACCCCACCTGCCCCTGGTAGCAGTAGCCTGCCCTTTCTGTGGTGATCTTGCTTTCTCTTCCCTTCCTCAGGACTCCCAGATGCCCTCTTGCCTTTTTGGGCATCTTCACCCCTTCTTCACCATGGGATCATTTGATTATAAGCCAAATTTCCTGTAAGCAAGAAGAAATAAGAATTTTCTGATGGTTGTGTTTTTCCTGAGGAACAGTTGTACTTAATGTAGGGATCTGTGGGTAAAATTTGAAGATGGGGGGGAAAGGGGGATGAACTTTTTGCTGTGTTTTTTAGACCTGTGTATTTCATTTTATCCATTTAAAAAACTTTCCTGAGAAGGGGTCCGTAGAGTTAACATAACACAGAGTTAAGAAGCCCTGCTTTAGATCTAGAGGGTGGGGACCAAGGAAAATTGGAGTGAGACCTCTAACTTTGGGCAGCTGCTGAAATTCACTGCTTTTCCTGTGCCTCCTAAGTCAAGGCTCCTGGGGTCACATTGACATCATTGCTGGCTAGGAGGAAGGGAAATTTCCCTGGGTGGTGCTGCTATTGGGACTTTGAGCTGAGGCAAGTAGCCCAGCTTCAGAACCTTGGAGCCCTGACAACCGGCTCAGAGCAGCCATCAGGTTGTCCTCCCCCGAATGCCTGAGTACTGCAAGCTCAAAAGTGAAGTCCCCCGTGCAAGTTCAATTCTGTGTGAGGCCACATGTCACAATGGCAACACTATCCAACTTGGAAATCAGCATCCTAACCTCACGGAGCCTCAGTTTCCCCACCTATGAAGTAAGGCTCATCTAGCTCTGGCATTGTGGGCAGGGACGGAGGAAAGCCTTGGTTCTTCTGGGGCCCAGGCTCTCCCACAATCCTGTTGACTTTTTCTTTCTGTTTTTCAGGAAAAAAGCTTGTAAATACTTTGAGCAAGGCAAAGGGACCTGCCCATTTGGAAGCAAATGCCTTTACCGCCATGCTTACCCTGACGGGCGGCTGGCAGAGCCTGAGAAACCTCGGAAGCAGCTCAGTTCTGAGGGCACTGTGAGGGTAAGGACTTTGACGTCTCTGTCAAGGACACTTACACGGTGGCATTTCCGGGTACTGGTGCTTTCCCTAATAGCTTTGGTACCAGGGAACGGGGTGAGCAAAAGAAAAACAGCATCTGGCCTTCACGTTACCACTAATAACCACCAGGCATGTTTGCTGGCTCTTTTTGCAGTTCTTTAATTCAGTGCGACTCTGGGATTTCATTGAGAACCGAGAAAGCCGGCATGTCCCCAATACTGAAGACGTTGACATGACAGAGCTTGGGGACCTCTTCATGCACCTGTCTGGAGTGGAGTCGTCAGAACCCTAAGGAGTAGCCAGTTACCCCTGTACCTTGGGCTCTGCCGGCCAAGCCTTCCCAAGCTAGGGCGTGCGGAGCTTCCTTCACTGCAGCCTGAGCTGCACCTGACCTTGGTCTCATCCACTCCATTATTACAGCCGTGGGAGGAGTGAAGGATATAAAATAGCCCAACAAGTACATGGAATCGCTACTTTTATAGTTGATCTCTTTAGTTGCATCTCAAGCTCCTCAGAGGGACCAGCTGACCAGCCAGATGGGAGTTTTGATTGATTGCTTTTAAAAACAACCTGGCTCCTATCCTTGAGCTTTAGCTCCCTAGAAACAGTCACCGTGCAGATTCGTTTTTCTTAACCAGGTATTCCTCACCCTTATAAAACGATTCCTCTCTAGTCGATTTCCCTAGTGTACTTAGTGTGTAGTCAAAACTGTTTCTTGAAAAGCTCTGTATAAATCAAGTGGGCACCACACACCTTAGCCTAAAACTTGTGCTCTTCAGTGTCCCAAATCAGAGCAGGAGTCCCGTTGCCGTGTGTTCAATAAATTCCCTGTAAGGAGGGGGCTCTTGAAGTAGCAGGCAGTGTAGGGCAGAGGTATGGCCCCTCGTTTCTGGTTGGGTGTTGGGGCCACATGCTCCAGGGAAACACGTCCCCGGCTGTCACCGGTGGGCTTTCCTGGGGCTCTCTTTGGGCTCATGCCCCACGGGTAGTTTTACTGAGGGTCAACACACACACACATGCTCTTCCGTGTGGCCCCTGCTCAAAGCCACGTGTTCTGTCTGTAAGCCTGGCTTTGATTTGAACTTTTAGTAAGAAGTGAAATGGCACGCAGCAGTTTCTGGTTCTGACCCAGCAGTGGTCCTGAACAGAACAAGTCCTCTGTCATCAGTTGTGACTTTAATTGAAGGAACATAACTTTGTGAATCAGAACAAATTCACCCCAGGCCTGAATTAATCTATTTTTATAAATAGGTATAGATACCAAATATTTTATAAAATGCATTAAAGTGTAGGTAGAAAAAGGTTTACTCTTACCTGAGTTTAGAATGCTTGCTTTTTCCATTTTTTATAGTTAACTCTTTAGTGAAGGGTGACAGCACAAAGACTGAATTAGATTCCTTCGCAGCAGAGGCTCTGGGCCTGTTTCCTGCTGCTTGAGTTCTTGCTCCAGGAGGGATGAACAAATGGGAGAGTTTAAGCTGTAAGCTCAGTATTTAAAAGGAAGAAACAGCCATTAAACCTACATTTAATTTATTTTATTAAAATAACATAATTGAACCATCAGATAACTGTATTTTGTCAGGCGCAATAAAAACAAAATTAAAACCCAAATCATCAAGAAAACCTGTATTCCTGGCTTCCTTGCATACACGTGATGTGACTGAAGAGAAAGGCTGGCCCGGCGGCCCCGCCCCATAGGGGCAGCTCCTGGAAGACAGATTCAGCATGATGGAAGACTGCTCCCTGAGAGAGCGGAGACTGGGAGGGGCAGGCCAAACGCCTCTTCGGAAAACCGTCCCAATGCACTGGAGACCTCCAAGGAAAGGAAGTGCCCCCAAAGTCAAGGTCCATAGTTCCATAGTACCAACGCAGGTTCCTTCAGGCGGCCGTCGTCTCGACAGTCCTGGGCTGTTTGGTGCGTTATGTGCAAAACTACCTGTTTGGCGCCATACCACTAACTCTGAAGAACGGTCCTTCCGTGACAAGCATTCCACATAGGAGCTGATGCCCCAAATCCACATGTCCACATCAGGGCTGGTTTGTCTGCTACCTTCATTTCCCCTCTGAGTGCTTTTTCTTGCCCTAAAAATACTCATTTAGCCAATAGCTGGGGCCCCAGATCATGTATTGCCAACTGTAGCCACTGGTGCATCTGGAGAAGGCTTGGCTCATGAGCGTGGGGGGGGGGGGGGGGGGGGTGGAGAGATGCAGGGAGGGAGCAGGACAAACCAGCATTGCAAATGGCTTCCCTCTCCCAGGGCCAGAAAGGGTAGAAAAGAAGGCAACATGAAGTTAAGGCCCTGTGAGTAGTCTAGAAGGTCCTTAGCAGCAGCTTCTCTGAAAATGAGCTCTCTGCCTCCATCAAAAGGGAGGAGAAAGGTGGTGCCTGCTGACTTCCCTTCCTCCCCTGGTGGCCTGAGTGCAGGTGCAAAGTCAGCTAGAAGACAGGCAGTCTAGGGGATGTGGTCAACGTGCAGGCGTTGATATCCTCAGTGTGGGCCGCCCGGTGCAGGGATGGCTCAGAAGCACTCCGGTTGATTTTCGGCAGAGAGTGTTGGAGAAGCTCGATGGAAGACAGGATCTAAAATGAAGCAGTGTCATTAGGTGGGTTTGGTGTCACAGCAGAAGCAGCAGCAGCAGCTCTCAGTGAGGAGTCCAAACACGGGCCCTTGTCCCCACCCCACCTGCAGCATCTGGTGCAGAACACGAGCCCTGTCCTATAGAAAACCCACACCTCCCTCCTCATTTCTGTCATTAGGAATTTCTGCTGGAATCCGTTCCCACCCCCTGAGCTGAGTCTTACCTGGGGAAAAAGAGGCCTCTCTTCCTTAACCTTCTTCACACAGTCAGCTACAAGCCTCTTCATTGCTTTGGGGCAGTTCTTATATAGCTTACTGAGGTCTGGGGAGGCATATCCTCGGCCCACCATGAAGATGATCTAAGAGGAAGGAAACCGTTGAGGGACTGGGTGGAGGCACAACAGAGACAGCAACTTCTGAACCTCCTGCTCACACTGGCAGGAGGCCCAAGGCCTTCCACAGCTGAATCTGGATCTGCAGCAGCCAGCAACAGTGCACGTACCTGGTCGCGGTTATTGATGTGGGAGTAAGGAAGCTCCCCTGTCATGAGCTCATAGAGCACAATGCCGTAGGAGTAGACATCAGACTGGAAGCTGAATGGGTTATTATCCTGCATTCGGATCACCTCGGGGGCCTACAGGGACAAAATGCATTCATTCATCACCATGTGGGCCCCACAGACATCCAGGTGCCAGGCTGTCCCTTCCCCTGGATATAAGACAGTCCTTTCCTCAGTTCTGCACCTCTTCCCCACTCGGGCTCACACAAGCTCGGGAAGCCTAGTCTCTGGTACCCAGCACCTATGCCTCAGTATGGTTCTGATCGCTAGCTTCCAGAAAACCCAAATTTGCCTCAGGCTGTCTGACGTCACTGAAGGCCTCACTGAGGTATCTGGACTTCCAGGAAAATGTCGAGAAATGTAAGTTTACACACAGACCTCTGGGGTACCCCTTCCACCTGCACTCTGCTAGGGGGAGCCTCGCCTCCTCACCATCCACAGGACAGAGCCAGTGGGTTGTTCGACCTGCTGAGAACCGCTCCAGCGCGACTTTACTGTTGCCAAACCAAAATCTCCAATTTTCACCGTCAGGCCTTCATGGAGAAATATATCTCAATGCTTGTTAAGGACTCTGGTTTCAAAAGAACGGTCAAGTTAATTTTAAACCACTTCCCAAAGGTCTGAAGAGCAGACCATCTCTCTGCTCTGCGCCCCGCCCCTCCCCTCTGACTGCCCCAGCCTCCTTTGCACTGATTTGCTTGGATTTCTACAGTTATAAAAAGTGCTTCCAAACTGCCTTTCTTCCATGAGGCATGTAGCAGTTGCTCAGGGCGGCAGATTATTTGGCTCCAGCCAAAAATCAGGCTATTTCCCCCTGCTGCTTCTCCCCATTTACACATCTAGGTGCCAGGTCCCTGGCCTTCTGACCTTCCCATGTAACAAGGGAATCTTTTTTTTTTTTTAATTTTTTTTTTCAATGTATATTTATTTTTGGGACAGAGAGAGACAGCATGAACGGGGGAGGGCAGAGAGAGAGGGAGACACAGAATCGGAAACAGGCTCCAGGCTCTGAGCCATCAGCCCAGAGCCTGACGTGGGGCTCGAACTCACGGACCACGAGATCGTGACCTGGCTGAAGTCGGACGCTTAGCCGACTGCGCCACCCAGGCGCCCCAACAAGGGAATCTTAAACCCGAAGATTTCTCCGAGAACAGGCTGCCATCTGCAGCTTCTTACCAGAAGCCAAGTGTGATGGCTTACATTGGTTTCTGCCTGCTGTGTGCCCTCAAATGACAAACGTGTGAATAACAATTCAGCATTCACTAAGCACTGAATGCTGTCCAAAGAACTCTCTCACTAGAATAGGTACCACTTGGTGACTTCACATCAGGACCAAACTCCCCTCATTTCTGGGTAAAGAGGTCAGGCACAAGGTAACTTGTGATCTGCCAATGCCCAGTAATACATACCACCATCAAATCTGTGGTGTCTGCTTTCATGGCATAACGTATCACTCCCAAAAACCCACCGTTAAAAGGTATCTCATAGGGGCGCTTGGGTGGCTCAGTCAGTCAAACGTCTGACTTCAGCTCAGGTCACAATCTCACGGTTCGTGAGCTCGAGTCCCATGTCAGGCTCTGTGCTGACAGCTCAGAGCCTGGAGCCTGCTTCCGATCCTGGGTCTCCCTCTCTCTCTGCCCCTTCCCCGCTTGTGTTCTCTTTCAGTCTCTCAAAAATGAATGTTAAAAAAAAAAGTATCTCATGCCTCAGACATGTGGCCCAAATAGGCCATGTCCCATAATCCAACTCAACACAACTGTAGTGCCTCTCACTGGCCAAGAAGCAGAGCAAGGCTGTAACGCTACACACTCCTCTCCAAGACACAGGCTGCAGATGTATAAAGGTTACGTTTCCTGCCCCACAGCATGAAAACTCTCCAGTCTTTATTCCCCTTCTATAAAAACATACAAAGTCTCAGAAAGAGGAAGGGCTGGTTCCAACAGTGAGTGACCTAGTGAGCGCTTTGACAATCTTGCAACATCTGGCCTTCAGCTCCCTTCTGACCAGACACACATGGTCCACACGCTAGAGATGAACATGACAGACAAAAGCCCCATTCCTCCAAGCTAGATTTAGTAACAAACAGCATAATAAAACTTGCAAGCATAACTCAAACACCTATCTCCTGTGGAAAACTTTCCAAAATCACTTTTACTGAGATAAGCTTTAAAAAGTTCTCTTCGGTTTTTCTAAATTTAGAAATGAAATAACCATCAAAGGATACTGTTGGATTTCATGTCTCTGTGGATGATATTCTTTGCATGCAAATAGCTGTGAAGGGAAAAAATCTATTAAAACCAGTTATCTAAGAGACATGGGTAGAAAGCAGCTTCACATGACAGCTAGGAAGGAAGCCACCTGGCCGCCTGATGCCCAACGAGGGCTACATGCAGGAACTGGTGGTGTGCGGATGCAGGCCAGGCCACATTGCGTGTTACCCGGAGGTGAGGTCATAGCACAAATGGGACGACTCTTTAAGCATCAGTTCTACTCAAAAAGTAATTCTGACAACCTGAATGTCCATCAACTAATGAATGCATAAATGAAACATGGCCCACCCGTACAAACGCAGTCTTATTCGGCTACAGAAAGAATAAAGTGATACGTGCTACAATGTGGATGAACCCCTCAAAACTGTTAGGCTAAGTCGAGTCAGACACAAAAGACCTCATTTTCTATCTTGACGATTGTTCTAAAATTACACATTCAGTCTACACAACTCTGAATGTACTAAAAAACCAGAGTTGTACACATTTAAAGGGTGAATTTTATAATCTGTGGATTATATCTATAATTTTTTTCTAAAAGGTAATTCTATTTCTTAATTCCGTATGGATTTTAAAAAGCAGAACACAAGATTTTACATGGCACCTGCAAGCGCCGCTTTAGCTTACGCCTCCAGACATGTAGTGCTATGAGTTCTCACTCTCCCACTAAGGGATAAATTAGAGGAAAAGTGTGACACACACACACACACACACACACACCACACGCCACAACCCCCTTTGACAGAGAGATGTGTTCAAGCAGAGATTCAAACAGGTAGTGTTTCATGGAGGCACAAGGGAGGACTTTTCAGCTTTCCCTAAAAGGAAAATAAATTATCCAAAAACATCCGCTCAGACCCTCGTGTGCAACAAGCGCACTGCGCATGGGCCACACCTGAGACCGCACACTTGTAGAGGGCAGTGCACGGCTGTCTGGGCAGAAGGTACTGAGCCCACACTACTGAGCTCTTGGGGGTCTGGGTGAATTCTCAGGGAAGTGGTTTCAACCTGAATCTGAGCCTCTAGGGGAGCAGCCTCAGCTCAGACGAAGAACCCGGAGCTCTCATTCCTTCAGCCCACACCAGAGGCTGACTTTCAGCTGTGCAACATCACAGAAATCACGTAGGAGACTTGGCTTTTTGCTAACCCAGGTTCCGATTCAGGGCAGGTTGATACCTGGACCCCCGACTTTCTAGTCAACAAGCCATCTACTCACTCCATTCCCTGAGCAGTCTGGCGGGCGATGTCAATCAACTGGAACATCTGGAACTTAGTCTCCTGGACATGCAGGTGTTTGTAGAGGCTGCTGCCCTCGCACCACTGGGTCACAATTGCCAGGTTGTCCTTTGTCATGTAGCCCATGAAGAGCAGGATGTTCACGTGCCGTGTTTTGCTGGAGGAGGGAGGAGAAAAAAGTCTCTGAATTCTCTGAATCTTCTGTTGCTGCGGAACAGAGAGATGTACTCTGCTTTCCCACCGACACGGGATCCTGAGTGTCCTCAATGCCACCATGCTTACAATCTGGGTGGTTGGCAAAGCACACACAAGCCTGCTGATAACTGAGTTGGGGTTGTGACAAAGGACCCCTCAGTGCTAGCCTTCAGAGAGAGGACATTCTCATTGTACATGATTCCTCCCACAGGGGGTCACAAGGAACCCTCGTCTGGGGAATCCATCATTATTCACCTTATTCCTATAGGTCTAAACAATGACTCAAAGGTTTTGAAGTCCAAAAGAAAGCAAATTGGCTATAAAGAGTTCTTGGAAATAAACGTGAAAAATAGAACCTATTTCTCACTATCTCAAACCAGAACCCAGACAAGAACCTGGGCTACTGTGTGTGGTGTGCCCAGAGACCTGAAGCAGTAGAGGGGGGCATGCTCATCAAAGAGGGCTCTTCTAAAGGTCTGACAACCCCGTAAGCTGGAAGGAAACCTCCCATGCATTCCCTTTCACTTGTAAGGAAGGAGTTTCCACCGCAAGACTCCGCAGTGAACACTCACTAACCACCAGTCCTGGCCATAGGCCCTCAGAGACAGGTCCGTGCCATGCTGCCCGCTTATCTGCAGTTGACACACCACCACCCACACCCGTCCCCTGCGGCTCCAGAGAGGCCGGAAAGGCTAGCTTTCTACTCACCGTAGGACAGCCACCTCATTCCTGAAGGCCTGGAACTGCTCTGGCGTGGGGTCAACAACTTTTAGAATTTTCACTGCAACATCTCCTGCAAATTATAGTCAGTACGATCAGCTGAATGAGCTTACTTTGTTATTTTTCACATACCCTAGTCCTGAGAAAGAGTGAATCACTTATTCAGATATCATGTGCCTACACAAGTGGAATAGGCAAATTTCCAAATTATTCAAGTACTTGAAAAAAGTTAAGTATATTATACTACTATCCTTTAAATACCACCACACACGCCTTGAATATGGGTTTGGTTTAAACTCTTCCTATCAAGCCTGGCATCCCCAGTGTGACTGGGGAATAGGTGAAAACCTGGGCCTGTGAGGGCCGCACTGGCAGGTGAGCTGGAATGGCCGGCAGATACAGGAGTTTTGGGGCCAGAAGGCTGGTGCCAGCAAACAGGCCATTTGGCAAGCAGTTGATGCCAAACTCAGCAGCCACATTCTAATGAGACCCGAGATGGTCCCTTGTACACAAAGATACATATCAAAATTAAGCTTCTTTGCCTTTAATACCATGAAGAAGCAATCCTAATGATTAATATCGATTGCTTACTACGCCCTTGCGCCACATGTGCCTTCACAGGCATTGTCACCTTTAATCCTCATAGTTGCCCTGTGATGTAAATACTGTTATCCTCATTTTACAGGGAACAGAGAAGCGTAGTCAACTCTCCAACGTCATTTAACCAAAACACAAAAGTGCTGGAGCCAGGATTAGAATGCCAGTCTGACTCCAATGGCTGCCCTTCTAACTTCCATACTGACAACAGACTGTCAATCACTATGAGCCTCTTTACTTAACTTTAGAAACATCCAGAGATTAACTCTACTTTATATGTGCTACTGATTTAGAAGGCACTTTCAGAAATGTTTCTACACTATAACGGTCATTTTAATAAATTACATGAAGCCCTATTAGGACCTCAGATTTTCTTGGCAAATGAATTTATCAAAACATAGCCTTCTGGGTAGCTCTTTCTGCCCACGCTTCCTGTCCCTGTGCTTTAATAAAGTCACCTTAAAAACAAACAAAACCATAGCCTTCTGGTGATCAAATAAAGGAGCTGGTTGATGGCACCTTGGAGGTAACAGAATTCCTCCACTATCAAGCATGCCCCCTTGGCAGCACCCCTGTGCAGCCTCTGTGGGAGCATTCCTCACTTCACTGGAGTACCAACTGGTAAGGACATGGGCTTTAAAAAAATTTTTATCTTTTTTTTTTTTAATTTGAAAGAGGGCACACATGCAAGCAAGCGGGAAGGGGGTGGGGGTGAGGGGGGGCTCAATCCCACAACCCTGGGATCATGACATGAGCCAAAATCAAGACTCAGACACTCAACCAACTGAGCCACCCAGGCGCCCCAAAGAGATGGTTCTTATGGCAGGTCCCAAACTGTTGTCCTGTCGTCATCTCTGGTTTTATCATCCAAAGCTAAAGTCCCCACCTAACAGTAGGGGCTCATCCACTTCACTGGCACATGTATTTCCCGAGGACCCAGGGCTGCCTCTTGGGAGACGCATTCTGCAGTCACAGCTGCCTTCTCTCCAGGAAGATGGAGCTGGTAAACCATGCAGCTCCATTTAAGCTCCTTATGACTGAGGAGGAGGATAAGAGTCTCCTGCAGAACTGCTCATTCTGGAGCAGTCTGAGCCAAGATAAGAATGCTGGGCGTGAGGGACAAAGACAAAATCTGTTTGCAGAGAGGATGGAGAAAGGTTTCCTGAAACAAATGGGATATATGCCAAGGGAAGGATTTTACTAAGTGGGACAGGCTGTTCCAAACTACATAGGTCAGGAACAAAGGTAAGGTAAGGTAAGGGGGAAGAAGGAAACAGGAGCTGTGCTTGGTGAACTCTGATGTGTGACCTGGGCCCCTGCAGTCTACGACAGAGGCCAGGGAGGAAGGAGTCCTGGCCCAAGAGCCCTGTATCTGCAGACAAAATACAGGGACAGCAGTGACAGTGGGGACAGAAAGGAAGGGGTGAAGGCAAGAAACTCCAGGAAGGTGGGCTGATCTGACGTGGCAGTCAACTGAGTGGTGGGGCCAGGAGATGACATTGCTGTTGGCCCAGGCACTGGACAAGGCTTGAGAGGGATAGGCCGGGGTGGGTGGAGGAAGGCTTGGGGAGATGCTGGATGGACACTCAGGACGGTTTGCTCCTTGGAACCTTACTAGTTCACAAGTCTAGTTTTACAAGACCTTCCCTTTTTTATAGCTCTCCAAGGGGCATGTTCCAGTTGTCACTGAACTCACCTTTCGTATCACCCATTTTGGACCTGATCATAATGTAACCTCAGAGCTCGGAAGATTCACCAGCAGCCAAAGCCCGCTGAGAGTGACTCATTCTGACCTTGACTCATTCTGACCTTGCAGTCAGCTGAATGTCCTCCACCTCCAGCCTCTACTTTTTGGCCCAGTGAGCAGACTTCTTATCCCTGTTCAGAGTTCATAGTCTCTTTGTTCCATCACCACAGTCAGTTCAAATCCTCTCCTCTTTCCAAATCCTATTACCCAAATCGGCACTACAATTCCATGTAAGTCATCTACTATACCCGCGCCTTCATGCAAGTCACGGGTTGGAAGACTGAACAGGGCTGAACCAAAGTCAAAACCCTACGATGCCTGAAAGGACCCATCTGCCTTCCAGCTCGTGGTTAGCAGTTAAGATAACAAGAGTATATATGCAATTTCTTACTGAAACCCAGAGACTATATACTACAGCATTCCCTCACTTTCACGCTAATACTCCTAGCGTTGCCATGACAGGGATTCAGTCTGCTAGGAGCAATGGGCAAACATTATAGGAAAATGGATTTCAACTTTTATAAAGAATTGTTTTCTACTAGTAGGACTGCCTCGAACTGGAACAAGTTCTCCAGTAACCAGCTCCCTCACCAGCATTCTGAATTTCAGGCTAAGACTGGCCAAGTCTCCTGAAGGTCTTGCACAATCTGAGACCCTATATTCACCCAAAAATGTTATCTAAAGTCTTTACGGGGCCCTACCACTCCCCATCCCTGGACTGCACTCCTATCAGCCTCCCTGAGTTCCTCAAACAGGTCAGGTGAATGGCCCAATTCACAGCCCCCCTTGCTGCTTCTCCAGGTTATCTGCCCACTCTCAAGCATCATGCAAATGCTACTTCAGCAGAGTCCTTCCCTACTAACCCACCAAAACCTGTGCACAAGGACTGCCACTCCCTACCTGCTTTCCTCCCTTTTTCCTCATTAGCAATTATAACATACTATATACTTTGGTTGGTTATTGTCCCCACCAGAATAGAAACTCCATAAGAGAAAGAATTTTCATCTGTTTTGTTCACTTCTTCACTTGTAGCAGCTAAAAGAATGCTTGGTATTAGATGAATATATTCAGGAAACACCGATAAAGAAATGAATGAATTCTAAGATGCAACTGTCAGCAAGGCATGTTATGAACTGACAAGCTGTCTCAAGCTCTGGAGTGGAAGTAGGGACAGCCTCTGGCACAGAATACTAGCTGCTGAATGACCCACCTGCTCCCAGCACAGGTCAAGAATCCACTGCTGGCAGGGAAGCGGAGACTCAGTACCCAGCCTGAAGCCTCCAGGTGTGCACAATTAGGTCTGGGCCCAAAACAAAGGCTGCTCTCCAACTTGCCCTGACAGTCTCAGGACCAAGTATACCATTCAAGTCCACCTCTCCAGCACTCCATGCAACAGGCATTTAGTAGTACTGCTTATTACTAATCTCTTCTTTTGAACACGTTTCTAAGAGGAGTATAAAAAATTGTATGTACTGGGGCACCCGGGTGACTCTGTGGGTTAAAAGCATCTGACTCCTGATTTCAGCTCAGGTCATGACCTCGCAGTTCATGGGGTTGAGCCCTGTGTTGGGCTCTGCGCTGGCAGCGTGGAGCCTGCTTGGGATTCTTTCTCTCCCTCTCTCTCTGCGCCCCCCTCTCCCCCCCGGCTCAAGCTCTTTCTCTGTCTCTCAAAATAAATAAGTATCACACACAAAATTTTTTTTTAATATATAGTATTAACCTTTCTGGAATTATCCACATACCCTTATAGCTGGCAATCTTAGCACATATAAAGAATGGTATTTATTTCCTTTAGCACGTAATATAAATGATGAAGGTAAACAGCCAAGGAACATTTTATGGAGGGTAGTCCAAAACAACTACACCAAGTAGGTATTTTTTTTTTTTTTTACTTTTTCAAAGTTTACTTATTTATTTGAGATAGAGTGTGAGCTTGAGCCAGGAAGGGTAGAGAGAGGGAGAGAGAAAGAATCCCAAGTAGACCCCACATTGCCAGCACAGAGCCCAACGTGTGGTTCAAACTCACCGTGAGATCATGACCGGAATCAAAATCCTGAGTCAGATGCTTATTTTTCATGACACTAAAACTTCTTACTTTCCCTTAATAGTAAAGTCAGAGAGAGGTAAAGGTAGTACAAATGAGTTAAGACACATTCCTGTTGGTTATCATGTTTTTAATAAGGTGTTGGTATCTCGTTCAGCTACCACTGAAGAAGAAAACTATTATCAGTTGGTAAATCTGGAATGTTTTGACCTTTTTAAATGTCTGTTTCTTGTTTTAACTATTTAGGGTTGTCTAAAACCTAATATATACATCCCTGCTTTCTAGAACACAATGGAATGAACACCACTCTGTTCTTCTGATTCAAAATTATCCTCAGCGTTAGTATGGGATGGGCACCCATACATGGATTCCACCAGGCTGGTAGCCTCACACTAAGCAGCCCAAGCCTGAGAGGGTTTGCTGCCTTCTCGTCATGCCATCAGTGACTATCCCGGCTGCCATCAGTCCTGCTGTCTGCATCCCCTTCAATGGGTTGTTTATGATGTGCAAAGGCTGGCAAATCAGATCCCAAATTTACGCTGTGTGTGTGCACCCAAGGGTGCACTTACTTAACACAAAGTTAAGTGAGCTTTAGTTCATGGATCTGAGGTCTCCATCTTGGCTGCTCTGAGGTCCTCTACTTTCACAGCTGGTAGGCAGAATAAAAACTTTTAAAAATCATCACCACTGTAATTCCTAAGAAACTGATTAAACATTATATAACAGATACCAGGAAAGCAGCAGCAGCAGCTGCAGCCACACCAGCAACAACCACACACACACACACACACACACACACACACACACACACAAAGTATAGCACAAACAATCCAGAAATTATGATTTCCCTGACCCTCTCATTTTATTTCTTCATTCACAGACGATGGCTTTGTTTCCTGGGGGGCTGACACAAAAAGTTCACTGCTCCTTACTCCTATGACTTTTGAAACACTTATCTTAGAAAAAACTAGAGCCTTAAAAGTATTAGACAGGTTATCTGCATTCTAATGGAAGTAACACTGTATCAAATAACATCTCCTTACCATAGTCCAAAAGCTCACAGAATCTAGAGAAAACACAAGCTCATAGGCAGTACTGTGCCGAATGTAAGTAATGCTTTGAAAAATTATGAATCCCCTCCACAAAGTGCTCGACAAGAGGAAACTTAAATTTGAGCACTCCTTAACTACATTTATTGGCTTTCAGCTGATGCTTTAAAATGTATAAAAATGATTTAGTGCTAATGGAAGCATTAAAAGCAATATTCACTGCTCCATCTCCTACAATTACCAGCAGCTATGTGTCAGATACAAGAACTAAGCATTGTATCCCACAAAACTGTTCTTCTTCCATAGGACTATACCACCAAAATAAAAGCTTTTGTGCAGCAAAGGAAACTATCAACAAAACAAAAAGAAAACCTACCGAATGGGAGAAGGTATTCACAAATGCAGTAAGGGGTTAATATCCAAAATATATGAAGAACTCACACAACTCAACACCAAAAGGGCAATCTGATTTAAAAACGGACAGAGGATCAGGGGCGCCTGGGTGGCTCAGTCGGTTAAGCGTCCATCTTCGGCTCAGGTCACGATCTCATGGTTCATGGGTTCGAGTCCCGCGTCGGGCTCTGTGCCTGCTTCAGATTTTCTCTCTCCCTCTCTCTCTCTCTGCCCCTCTCCTGTTCACACTCTCACTTTCTCTCAAAAATAAACATTAAAAATTTTTTTTTTAAATGGACAGAGGATCTGAATAGACTTTTCTCCAAAGAAGTTATATAACAGGCTAACAAGTACATGAAAAGGTGCTCAATATCACTAGTTATCAGGGAGATGCAGATCAAAACCACAAATGGGGTATCACCTCACACCTGTCAGAATGGCTAGTATCAAAAAGACAAATAACAAGTGTTGGCGAGGATGTGGAATCAAAGGAGCCCTCGTGCACAGTTTATAGGAATGTAAATTGTGCAGCCACTATGAAAAACAGTAAAAAGGTTCCTCAAAAATTTAAAAATAGGGGGCGCCTGGGTGGCTCAGTCAGTTAAACGTCCAACTCTTGATTTCAGCTGAGGTCATGATCTCACATTCATGAGTTCAAGCCACACATCAGGCTCTGCACTGAGTGCAGAACCCTGCTTGGGATTCTCTTTCTCCCTCTCTCTGCCCCTCCCCTACCTGCATGCACATTTTCTCTTTCTCTCTCTCAAAATAAGTACATAAACTAAAAATTAAAAATAGAACTACCATAAGATTCAGTAATTATACTGCTAGGTATTTACCCAAAGAAGATAAAAACGCTAACTTGAAAAGATACCTGCACTCCCATGTTTACAGCAGCCATTATTTACAATAGCCAAGGAATGGAAGCCGCTTAAGTGTCTATTAATAGATAAAGATGTGGTATATTTACACAGTGGAACATTACATAGCCATTTAAAAAAAAAAAAAAA